CCGTACACGGTATAGCTTTTTATCAAACACAGTCTAAAATCTATTGAGAAAAAAGAAATAAAGAAATTAATGACATTCTACATTGACCTTGACCTCTACAGTTCCATTCCTGCTGCTATTGGCTAGAACAAAAAGGAAGAGGAGGGGATTAGGAAGCACAGCAGGTATAAAACCAGATGTTCATGTAAAGGGGAACCATTTGGGGCCACTGCTGTGGAGGACAAGCCTCAAGTAGATTGTTGAAAGGTATGTGCATTGTGATCATTCCTTAAATAGCGTCATCATTGTAATTGCATTTTCTGATTGCATGTTGTAAATGCAAAATTGTGTTTGTTGTTTACCAAAAATGCATGCACATCTTTAGGTTGAACTTCAGTCTTTAAATGCAAATATTGCATTACTTTGGTTGCTTGATTGGTTTGCTTCCGTTTTGCTAAATGCAGAAATATGCCCAGTGTTTATGAATTAGGAACAGGCAAACCTAAGCCAAAGAAATATTTTTTCTATTGTTATGTTGTTCACGGGTTGTTGTAAAGTGTGTCTATGATGAATTGCCCTTGATTGGATTCTGTGGCTATTGCATAGACAACTTGCAAAAACGAACACTCAAGGCCTATGTGACATGACAGGATTTTGTTTCAACAAATAAAAACCAACACAATTTCGTTGCCACAGAATAGATGGGTCATGATTTGCCTCAGTGAGGTGCTTCATGTTGCTTCTGAAACCTCATCCTGCAGTTTCAGTAGCCAGAAGAGGCTTGTGCAGAAGCATTTCACATCACTGTCTTCATGAGTCAGAACCTCCCCAGACACAACTCAATGCTGATCTTGCTTTACTTTAAGAAGGGGGTGGGGAGGAGTTATCATTGCTTTGAGAAGCAGTTTCATGGGGATGCTTTCCATACACCTTTATGAAAGTGAAAGTCCCTTCCGAACTTTGTCCATCCCTGTTAATTTGATTGCTCTGGGGATATTTCAAAAATTTAAAACTACCAATCTTCTTCCCTATATTACCTTTATGAAATAGAAATATTGACCGTCAGTATTGTAGCCAAGGGTTGATAACAAACCTAACATGCAATCCATTTTGGAATTGCAATTCTCACAATCTCTTTTTGGTGACTATGCTAGCTATGCAGTCTTAGAATTGAAGTACAAATGTTTGGAAATGGACAAATTGCTGTTCCCGCTTCTATCTCTCTGCTGTCTGCCCAGGTGATACAGAGATGATGAGAGCAAAATGTGACTTAAAGATATTAAAACAGACTCATTGTTCATCTATTTCCTTTTGTTGGTTGACTGTTGACTGGTCAACAGTTGGTCTTGTCACCACAATTTCCTTATTATGGAAATCTACCAAGTCCATCTGCTTGCCCAGAACATGACTTTCCAATACTATCTGCCTTATACTTTAGCTGCATTGTACAGCCCAAATCTATCCACAATCAAAATATATTTATTTTACTCTAGAAATTTGTTTTGTTAGAAACATATCAAGAGAGTATTACTTCATTCTGCTTCAGATTTGTTTATGGGATCAAAATGAATACTTAAATACAACATTTTATGTTCTGGAATAACTGGTAGCCTGCAAGCAGACCAACAAAAGAGAAAAGATAACATGGGGAGTGAAATGAAGAAAGCTAGAAGAAAAAATCACATTGAGTTTCCCCCTGTAATTCTCTGTGTGTCTCACACTTAGCCATTTCTTGCAAGCCCACACTCTCATCTATTCCACTCTATCAAGGAACGAATAAAAATGCAGGTGGAACTGATCCCTGGAACAGTGGTACTGTTGATTGTGTTTCTGTTCACACTCTGGGCCTTCCGGTTTCACCAAAGAAGAGTCAGATTCCCTCCTGGCCCCAGACCGTGGCCCTTTTTAGGCAATCTACTGCAAAGAGATGTTCTGCCTCTGTTTAACTCCTACACAAAGGTAGGACAGTCTTAAATCGGTTTCCTTTCTTAGTGGGTCCGAGATTCAAGATATCAATTTCCTTTATTTTGGGAAAGCTAAAGCCAATATTTCAAAGTTGGGTTTTTTTTCAGCACTATTAAATATGCTCTTGGCTCCACTGTCTGTCTTTTGTTTGTTTGTTTGTTTGTTTGTTTGTTTGTTTGTTTGTTTATAGGTTTAACCACAAACATATTTTATCAAAGTCTAAGTGGTATGAATAAGAAGCGTAGAATATTGTACAGGTCAAAATAAGTATTATCTAATATAAATGATACTGTTTTTTTTCCTGTTCACCTTATTCAGATTAGGCTATATTTTGATCTTTTGTTTCATTCTGAAAATCAGTTGATAATCTGGGAAGTATTTTCAGAAGCCATTAAAACAGGATGGGTGACACTCCCACTCCAATTCATAGGGCAAAATTCCGACCAAGAATGGACCTGTTGCCTCCCTCTGGGTCTGATGAGACGCTGCCCCTCCTTCGCCACCCCTCCAGAGGGATTCTGGTCCAAAAAAGGATCCCCAGAGTTGGTTTGTCAGACAGGGTTCATGTGAGGCTCTTCAGAGCTCACATCCCCCATGTCTGTCCAGCTGAAGAACTTCCTGTTAAATCCCTTATAGATGGCTTTTATGAGGCTTTGGGTGAACCCACATAACATGGATTTAATCCCATGGCTCCATGGGTTGCTTGAACCTAGAAAGTTGTAGCTTATTAAAGAAACCATGATGAATAAAAGTGTGAATTGTATGACATGCTCTTTCCCCTTTCTTTGAATGCCCTGATCTGGAAGTACGGATTTATTAAATGCATATGCTGACAAATCCTTGTACACTTTCACATCTTAGAAGAGTAGGAAGTCATATAATAAAAATTTTAAACATCCACAATGTATAAACCCCCACAAACTGTTTATGTTCAGAAAATAATATAATACAAGAGTTCATTTAAAGTGTAACAATATCAATTAATAGTTTCATGTAGTAGAACACCATTAGAGTAAGACTTAATGCAAGTTCTCCAGGCACAAGTTTACTGATAGATTCATTATATGCTATCAAATTGTTTTTACTCCTGGTAGCCACATAGATTTTGCCCATGATGATCTAGCCCTAACATGTTCTTTCAAGTCTCATAATAGTGCACTCATTATCACTCTTGAGTCCAATCAACTTTGCTCCTGATCATCTTCTCTTTCCTTCTAACTTTCCCAACATTAGACCCATTTCCAGAGAGCTATGTCATCAACAACAGTAGGGGACTTCTTCATGCTTGCTAGATATGTAGAAAAGCTAAACGTGTTTGATACTTATAATATACCTAATACTTATTAATTCAGAAAATTTTGAAGATGACTATACAACTGAAGCCAAGGTGTTACTTTGGACTTATTTGACAAAATCATTAGGAGAAAAAATCAAATAGAACTTTGTTTCTATACATAACTGCAGTAAGACTTTTATATACACAACAGTGGAAAGATTTGACGCTATCCACAATGGAGTAGTAGTTGTTGAAGATGAAGGAGTTTACAGAAATGGATTAATTGATACTAATTAAGTTTAATACCAGTGGAAGCCACTTTAGGATAATTTGCATGAAATAGTGGGGAGGGGGGGGAATGAAATAATATGTGGATTTGATCGCTAGAAAAATAGTACATAATAGTAAAATTAAAGTTATATTATACCCATAAAGTAAAATTTTAATGTAAATTTGTATCTATAATTTATGCAAAACAAAATCAGAAGTTATTACTTAGTATTTTTTTATTTTTGCTATACTTTTGGCTTTAATCTGTTCTACTTTTTTCTTTCTCTTAAATATTAGTTTCTGTAAGTTTTTATTTTTCTTGTTTAAAAATCTAATAATGTTATTACAGAATGCAATAGCATGAGTAAAAAATATTGTGAGCCACTAACTGAAGTAGATATCCAAAAGTGAGATTACAAATCCTGCTGATTCATGCCTTTGATGGATTTTTTCCTCAGCTCAGTAAAAGGTATGGTCCAGTTTTTACTGTCTGGCTAGCTACAAAGCCAATGATTGTGATTTGTGGAATTGAGTCAGTGAAAGATGCTTTGATAACTCATAGTGAAGAATTTGGTGGACGACCTCCAGTACCTATCCTTGATTCAATATCCAAGGGCTTTGGTGAGTTCACAGATTATTTTCATTTTGATTTGAGATGTAGTTTCCAATTTCTGGAGAAACAATAAAAACATTAACTTTTCCAGGCAAATGGTGGCCATTGTTCTTTTCAAGAAATTTTTAAAAATGAAATTGCTAAATCTCTTATAGGTATTTGAAAATCTGTTCAGTCTGGTTATGACAGAGTATTAAAAGAAGAAACAGCAGGGCACTGAAATCCCGTATTTAGAGGTTTGCACAAGAGTCCAATTGATATAGTAGTCAGTTAGGTGATCTGAAATTATAACCTATGTTCAGTATTCTCTCAGAAACAACAGATTTCAGAACTGCCATCTCCTCAATTCTGTTTTAGCCAAATTTAAATTAAAACTGGCCCATATCTAAAATTTAAAAAGTGAAGAAGAGAGAAAGAAAGATCTGTCCTTTGCCATTTTTAGAGTATATTTTAATAGCAAAGCAGCAATATTGTGTAATACTAAAGTTCTCAAATCTTCTAGTCTTTCAAAAGGCTATAAAATTTTTTGAAGTCATCAGATATTATTGATTGATTGGAATGTTTAATTTGCTATTCTGCAAAACTATTTTGAGGGGATAACTCAAATCTTTTAAGGCTAAAGGCTTGGAGGTCGGTGATGTAATCAGGTGACCTTTTCAAATTTTATTCAGTAATCCAATTGTCATCACGTTCCAAAACTGAAGATGTCAAATTACAGGAAATGTTAAAGCAATGAAAAACAACAGGTTTTCCCCCCACCCCAAGAATGGATTTGGTTTATGTATATGGGTGAGAGGCAGGTGAAGCGAAATATTGAGAAAAATGGAAGCTCTTCTATCCTTTCAAAATATTCATATGTTTTGTAACTTTACCCAAGATATAATCTGAATAAAAAGAATCCGAACTCATAAGCAAATTGAGTTTCTTTACCTTTTGCCAAACTACCAATTACTCCTGAAAGAAGAAATGTAAATTTATTTGAGAAGAGTAATACTTTTGGGGTGGAGGGAGACTACTGAGCAAGTTGCTTTTTTATTATTTAAAAAATGCTGCAGTGTCTGTTCTTTGTTATTGTCAACGTCTATCCTTCCAGGGCTTATTAGCAAACATGAGAAATGGAAGATGGTGCGTCGCTTTACTATTTCCACTTTTCGAAACTTTGGAATGGGAAAGAAGTCGATGTCTGAGAGGATATTGGAAGAGGCTCACTGTTTGTTAGAGCAGATAGCAAGCTTTGAAGGTGATCTGATGTTGCAGGAGATTTTATTTATATATCTGTTTATTTATACAATTATATACCATCTTTATATGCACAACACAAGGCAGTGTACATAATGTTCCTGCCCCCCACTTCACCACAACCACTTTGTGTTTATTTATAAGATCAAAAACAAATACTTGGTTTTTGTTGAATTGATACTATTGAGTTATGTTACTGAAGCTAGCCCATTTCAGTTAAAAAATGGGGCTGAAACCTACCTGCATGGTTCATCCTGTGCCTTGAATCCCACCTCCCAGACTCTGTTCACTAGGTTGAAAAATGGCCGATCTGCACTTTCATTGTCTTTCAGAGATGCACAGATTATGACCATGATAAAGATTTACTAAAATTAAGCTGTACAATGTCTATGGTGATTTTCAGTCATCCAGGTCATGGTTGTCCCAAAGGTGCTTTTTTCAAGAGGCTCAGAGCTGAAGAAGCTTCTTGGATGAGAAGCGAAACGTCATCAAAGAAAAACCAGAAAGTCCAGTTACCTCTTGAAAAAAGCACCTTTGGGACAAGCTGTACAATGGGAAATTTTCTTGGCAAATGTTGTTTGAACCAAGAAGTTCCATAAGTGTTAAACTCCCAGTAGAATATAACATGTCCTTGATGTACTATATGACTATAATGGAGCCTGCCCATTATGACCATATGTTGCAATGATCATAAATCAGTCACAAGACTGACCCAATTTTAGAACCATTTTGGTGGTGATGAAGTGAACACAGTGATCATTGTTTACTATGGCGGGTTTTGCCAAAATGGTTTGCCAAAACCATTATAAAGCACAATCATGGGACATTACAAATGGCCATATATACAGCCATGTTCGTGAGTGTCTAAAGTACAGTGCCATAATAACGGGGGAGGGGAGGATGCAACAATCAAAATTTCAGAACAGAGTCATAACTCCTTTTTTCCAGGGAGGTAGTAACTTTAAACAGTCACTAAAGTGACCCGTTCTTAGTTTAATATTACCTGTATAAATAAAATTTAGAAAGTCATTACAGAAAAAGATTTGAAGATGCAAAACCTGGTCAAACAATGTCTATTCTCCTTTCACTTTCTTTGCAGATCAGCCCTTTGATATAGTACCACTTATCAAAGCTACTGTTTCTAATGTTATATGCTCTGTTATCTTTGGGAATCGATTTTCTTACGATGATAAAGAATTCACTAGGCTATTGGATACCTTGGAGGCATTTATGACTTTCTTTACGAGCATTCCTGGAATGGTAGGTCACGTTTATGTACTTCTACAATAGAATTTTATCTTTGTTTAAGGAGGTTCACTTAGTTCCCTTCAACCTAAAAACAAAGTGGCCTCTCTACCTACTTCCACTTCTAAAAGGTGAGTTTGTGAGAATCACACTGTATTTCTTGATCAAGTACTGTTCTCCTTTCTCTTGGTTAGTTCAGGTGTTTCTACTTATCAGTGATTATTTCCAGAGTTATCAAAGATGTATACAGCTTCAATCCTGCTTCTTCCCAGCTAACTATTCTACTTACTACCCATTTCACAGAGGCATACATAAATAAGTGGTTTTTAAGTATATCATAATAGATCAGCTTTCATTCTATTATTTAGCATAATAGCAACTGAGGGAATATAATCAAAGAGAAAAAAATCATAACTAAATAAACTTGGTGTCCATGAGCTCATGTTTTATATTTATTTGGTCTGAAGCAGTGGTGGGATTCAACCAGTTTAACAACCGGTTTGGTGAGCATGTGCATAGAGTTCAAAAACTGCCCATTTTACGCTTAAGAACTTATAATGGTCTCGCCTCAGTCTATCAGCCGCTGTCCTCAGGACTCAACACTTACCTTCTATGTCAGTGCTGGTGAGTAAAACAGCTGACGGGTGGCAATCCACTGTGCCACGTGAATCAGCTGAACTAAAAAACAGGGAAATATAGGACAGGAAAGGGCAGGGGTGGGGGACCAATTGCTCACTGGAACTACCAGTAGAATCCCACCATTGGTCTGACGACACTGTAGAATAAAATGAAAATGTTTCTACTTGATCTTGCATTACACGATGGACGAACATCATCATATAGTTTATTTAAAAAAGAAAAAAAGAAACAAGAGAGCACTTTATAAGAGAACTAGCAAAAGCAAAAGAGGTAAACTGGCAATGGCTAACTTTTACTATCACCATGTTTCAGGTATACAGCAGTTTGCCAAATATCATGAACTTACTTCCTGGCCCTCATAGGAAAGTTTTCTCTGACTGTAAAACGGTCTGTAACTTTATTAGGAATGAAGTGGACACTCACAAGAAGACCCTGGATCCAGACAATCCTAGAGACTTTATTGATTGTTTCCTTCTTAAATTAGAAAAGGTATGTTGCAAGGAAATTTAGCAGACAATGCACAAAGAACAACGTTCCAATTATGCACTTGCGCCCCATTTTCTGATGGCATCTAGGAGAGGGAGCAATTTGTACTGCTGAGACAGCAGAAAGCAAAAGGACTGTTATCTTCCAACCCTGCCACAAAAACTGCAGTAAAATATGAAGTCAATAGTGGCCTCCATAAACAAACAAACTCACTGCTTAAGAAACTGTTGTGTGGAAATGTAGAAATAGAAGTGCTTCTAGCAGAGGACTCCTACTCATTTTTCAATTCTTAAAAAAAGGAGGAGAGGGTTAAAAGTGTCCCTGTTCTTTTAGAACTGTCTCTGAAAACCTTTTCTGTCCCCCTTGCTAGCAAAGAAGGTTGTAGCCTCAACAAGGGAAATTAAACCTATCTGTTACTTATGTATAGGCTTCTTGGTACCATCTGAAAGAATGCAATACTGTGGCAGGTTGTTAGTTGTAGCCAGTAAAACATTCATTGCAAGATTAATCTGGATGCTGTTGAATCATGAGATAGCAAATGCCCTTTGAGCATTGAGGGAAGCGAAGCTTTGTGGCTGTTGCTGGGCAGAATGAAAAGGATCGTGGAAGGAGATATCAGGGAAAAGGAACGTTTATGAATAAAATGCTTGCAAGATTTCAAAAGCTCAGCTTGTGAGTTGAAGATGGAGAGGAAATTCCATGTAGAAGAGAGAAAAAAGAATTTTCTGCATTACTGTACAATAGCTGCATAACTGGTGGGATTCTGGGGAAGAGTTGAAGATACAGGGCAGAAAAAGAACCAGTTTGATTTATTTGGAATTCAGCTGTTTCCCTTTCCCTTTCATTTAAACAGTGAGAGATCTGACCCAAACATCTATTCAATTGAATTGGGTATTCAAATTAATATAGAGAATATAGAGAACTCTATCTTGAGTTATTTGCTGCCTGCCCTCTAAATTGGTCTAGAAAAAAAGTAAAGTGAGAAGAAACAGGAGGACATCTTGATGACATTGTGATACAGCTACATATTCTGCCTTTTTATTTTATTTGTACCTTAATTTACAGGAACAAAATTCTTCCTTAATCTGTATGGAAGACTTGGTCATGTCTGTGTTTCAGCTCTTCATTGCTGGAACGGAAACCACAAGCAGTAGCATCTCATGTGCCCTTGTCGTTCTGGCCAGATTCTCAGATGTCCAAGGTATATGATATGATAAACTTTGTTCATATTTTCTCCCTCAAATATGGATTCCCAGCAGTGGTGGGTTGCTCCCAGTTCATCCCAGTTTAGCTGAACTGGTAGTGGCAGCAGCGGGAAGCTCCGCCCGAACGCTTCTGTGCATGTGCGAGCATATGCACAAGCAAACCGGTAGTAAACTGGTTAGCAACCCACCATAGCAATAGCAATAGCAGTAGACTTATATACCGCTTCATAGGGCTTTCAGCCCTCTCTAAGCGGTTTACAGAGAGTCAGCATATTGCCCCCAACAATCTGGGTCCTCATTTTACCCACCTCGGAAGGATGGAAGGCTGAGTCAACCCTGAGCCGGTGAGATTTGAACCGCTGAACTGCTGATCTAGCAGTAGCCTGCAGTGCTGCATTTAACCACTGCGCCACCTTGGCTCCTCATGATTCCCAGATACACTACAAAGAAAAACTACAGGTTGGCATTTTCCTGCCATTTTTCACTATGTTTCCAGATATTTCAAGTGACAATCTAATGTGTTAAAGAAACCTTCCAAATTAGCTTTTAAAGAGACTTCAAATAATAGGAACCCAATATAAATGTTAGATTTCTCTAAGCATGTTTTCTTAGTATTGTACATGTCCTTAGACTTATATACTGTTTCACTGTGCTTCACAGCCCAATCTAAGCAGTTTACAGGGTCAGCCTATTGCCCCCAACAATCTGGGTCCTCATTTTACTGTCCTTGGAAGGATGGAAGGCTGAGTCAACCTTGAGCCATTCAGAATCAAACTCCTAGAGTGAGCAGTGAGTTAGCCTGAAGTCCTGCTCTAAGGCAGTAAAATGAAGCAGTTCTGTGACTCCTCAGTTTGTCTTCTGACAAGCAAAGTCAATGGGGAAACTAGTGAAGATTCACTTAATGACCCTTTACTAACTTAATAACTACAGTGATTCACTTAACAAGAAAGGCAAGAAAGGTCATGAAATGGGACAAATTTCATTTAATTATCCCACTTATCAACATAAATCTTGGGCTCAGTGTGGTCATAAGTTAAGGACTATCTGTATTAGTAGCTCAGAGTTGAAATGTGGGGTCCTGGGTATTCACTGTGCTTGGTTGTAAACTCTAGCTGTTTGCTACTGCCCACTATCAATTAATAGTTCAGTAATAATTTTGGAGAACACATGTGAGTGTTGCAGATAATGGTCTCTTTCATGCAGCAAAGTATCTTTCTTGAACTCTGATTCCATGAACATTTATGCAACAGCTGCATCTGGATTACACACATCTGGACTACTGCTATTTTGCAGTTAAACACATACAGATAAAGAATTAACTATCATTCAGGATTCAATTGTCTCATAGAGGTGGGATGGGGAAGAGGGTGGGAAGAAATGATTGAATGGAATGCCTGAACCCTTAAGCACCAGCTTGGCCTCCATGCTGATTGGGGATGGTTTTCTCTAATTTTAACATCCAACCAGAGAAAATTGCTGGTCACTGCCCTCACAGTGTCAGGTGAAGAAGCTAAATGGACAGTGGTACAAAATGGCTTGTTTAGCTATCCTTTAAGGGCACAAAGTGGGGCAATGTGCTTTATGTTGATATGTTTTCTTCCCAGCTCTAGGTGGGAAGAAAGCAGGGCAAATAGCTAGGTGAATGAGCCCAAAGAGATGTGAAATGGAGAAGAAACTGGAGTGCATCTTTGATTATCCACTACGTAAAGATGAATGAAGTTTAGGTCTGGAGTGGTTGAAAAAAAATATTGTTTGTTTTTAAAAAGTATGATTTATTGCAGCCAAAATGCAGCAGGAAATTGATGACATTGTGGGAGCAAACCGTGTTCCCTCCATGGAGGATAGGATGAAGCTGCACTACACCAATGCATTTATTCATGAGATCCTACGTATTCCACACTTTACTAATGATAACTTCCCACGCATGACAACTCGGGATGTGAATTTCAGGGGACACTTCATCCCTCAGGTGTGAAAAATCAGACAATATCTGGGATTCTCTCTGCATACAAATATGTAACTGCAATTGCAGTACAATTAAGCTTCTGCAGTAATTGCTGCTTATATTTTGTGAATGTTATTTTAGGCCCCTGGATTTTAGAGAATGCTCTATTTATTTGCAAATGTCGTCAACCATCCTAAACATTTTCCATTCTGCTGAGCTTCACTGATTTCAATTAAAGTTCTTAACTACAAAAATTAATTCCTTTTTCTTTGTACCAAGCAACTGAGGATGTTTAATAAGAAAACTGGCACTATGTGTTTAACTTTTAGTCATAATACATTTCTGGGAATATTCTTCGAGAATGCAAAATGGGAGCATAAATGTCCTCAGTAAAAATGATGGATTAATTGATTTAGTTGGCCTCTTTTGGAATCTAGAATTCTGCCTTCCTGATAGTGGAAAAGTAATATTTTGTAGGAGTACTGAATATGCTTTTTATTTACATTTGGTTTCATCAATCATAAAGCCATAGAGCCAGTTTGGTATAGTGGTAAAGGCATCAGGCTAGAAACCAGAGAGACTGAATTCTACTCCTACCTTAGACACAAAGCTAGATGGATGACTTTAGGCCAGTCACTTTCTCTCAGAAAGGAGGCCATAGCAAGCCACTTCTAAAAAACCTTGCAAAGAAAGTTGCAATGCTGTCCAGGTAATCTCTGAGAACTAGACATCATTGAACAGAAGAAAAATAGTTAATAAAACAATAATTTGGGATCTCCTCTCTAAAGAGGAGAAACACCAGTTGCTATCTTTTGGTTTCTAATTAAATGTGTTTTGGTATCCATACATATTTTAAAAACATTTCATCCCTCACAATGATTTGCAGTGCTTGTGTGCTATCATTTTTACTGTCATTGTATAAGATGCTATATAACTGAATAGATATAATTGTCTCCTAGCTATATCAGGACATAGTAACAGCTCATTTCTGCAGATACAAGGAGGACCTCTCAATTGTCTTTCAGAAGACATAATATTTTTTTAAAGTTACAATATACAGATAAATTGAACCAGAATCTCAGCTTGGAAGGTATAAACTTCTTACATCAAGGCATGTTGCAGAATGCAACACAATTCCAACATTTATCATTCTGAAGAATTATCCATCAGCAGATATAGAGTGATAAACCTAATTGATAAACCATTCAAAAGGAACAATCAAAGAGACATCAGCTCTGAGCACATCCTCCCAAATACACACCCTTTAAATAATACTCAAAAAACCAGAACAATCAAGGGAAAAAATCTTCCCAAATCCACACAAGGCTGTGGACAGCAAACCAACTTAAATCCCCCACTTAGGAGCACTGATGACATTATTAATCTGGTAATAAAATATCTGCAAGAAAAAATCCAAGCTGAAAGAAAGGTCTACTAGAGAATGGTGAAGGCCACCATTCGACATTATCAGTGAACAACTGTAATGAACTAAGTAGTCATCCATTGTTCAAGTCTTCTGTAATGCTTTTAATCCCCCAACCTCATTCTGGATAAAGAGCATGATATATAAATATATCAAAGCCTCTAAATAAAAATGGTGCTAATGTGCCAAAGTAATATAGTATTAACACAACTAGAGGGCATTTTTAAATAATTCAAAATAAACGTTTTCTTTTGTTGGAGAAAATGAGTATGGTAATATGCAAACACCAGGTATGGAGAAATCTTGTAAATTGCATATACCTTTCAAGGAGTCTTGTTTTTTGAAAGAATTAAGAACAGTCTATTTCTTTATGAGGTTGGGAAAATCCATCTTTCCTCTCTGTATCATTTTGTCTCCTTAAAGGGCACGACTGTTCTTCCATTGTTGATTTCAATTCATTTTGATCCTGTGTGCTGGGAGGATCCTGAAAATTTTCATCCAACTCATTTCTTGGACAAGAAGGGTGAATTTCAAAAGAAGGATTCCTTTTTACCTTTCTCTGCAGGTAACAAGGGCTATAGCTGAATTAGTGATTTGGGATCTTCAAGGTTGGTCAGTTACCTGTAAGGCTGTTGAACTGTTACCTCACCTATGCTCACAGATGCTGTTCTCCCTGCCTGCCCTTGCCACTATCTGTATTAGTTTCAAATCATGGAGAGAATATGGTTGAATCATGAAGGAGAATGTTCAATCTCTTGGAATCAGGAGAGATAGGGTAGCTGCTAATCAACCCCTCTACTGAAAGGGACTTTTTGTTGAAAAAGCTATAAATAATCATAGGAGGAGGAAGAGAAATTTGGATCATGTTAGGACCAAAACAATAGGGGAGATTAGTATCTTCCTCTTTACTGTTTTCCCTAATCCAGTTTCCCTTTTCCCTAGATAATTTTTTTAATATGTTTATTAAAAGTTTTAATGAGAATATAAAAATTAACCAAAACTAATACAGACTACAAAGGACAAAACAAGAGAGGAAGAAGAGGAAAATCAACAGAAGAAGCTTCCAATTCCTTTTGAAGCAAATACAAATTGATCTCTTTCTTTAAGTTTTTTTCTATTATCTATTTCTATTTTTCTATGACTGCATGTTTTTATTTTTTCATGTGAAAAGTGCTTGAAATGGCTTTCCATCAGTGTAGATATTGTTTTTTTTTCTCTAATCAAAGCAACTAATTTAATGATCTTTGGAAGTTCTATCATCTTCACCAATCTTTTCTTCACTCTGGGTATTGTTTCCAGTTTTGGAACTTGGAATAATCTTGATGCAGTTGTGATATGTACAATGTTCTATGAATTATTTTTAGTTGCTTCTTTCATATTCCTTATTCCTAGTTAATGTTATCTCAGGGAGGGAAGAACAGGGAGGAGAGGCTTCCACCTACTGGGGTATGTGTGTGTTAGTGCCTCTTCCCAATGCTTTAGTCTTAATAGGTAGCAACCGTTTCCCTCTGGTGGCTGATTTTAAGATCCCAGAAAAATGCAGGAAACCTGACTGCGACTTCCTTGTTCTTATATCTGGTTTGGTCTTAAAAGCTGAAATCAATTTACTACAATACTCCAAGGATATTAAAGTATCTGTCATAATATTTTATCTAAACAGCAGATATCTTTTTATTTCATGATTACAATCACTATCCTTGTGAAAGTCTGTAGAGATTCTCAGTCATCCAGGTCATGGTTGTCCCAAAGGTGTTTTTTCAGGAAGCAACTGGACTTTCTTGTTTTCTCTTTTGAAGATGTTTCACTTCTTAAGAATGCTTGTCTGCTTCATGTTTTTTTTAAAAAAAGATTATTGTGATTGTTTGTACAATCAGCCAGATATTTAGACTGAATTAGGCACTCTTATCCACCTATTGAGTCACTCTCAAAAACCTGTGCTACGCAGATGATATTGTTTTATGATGTCAAAGGTATCATTGCCATATGCAAGCTGTTCCCAATAAATGGTCAGTGCAGATGGTAATTCAAGTTATGCTGCAATTATTTTGGGATTGCCCCCAACGCACCTATTACCATTGGTACCATCTTTACTTTCTTTTGCCACAGTCATATATCTATTTGCCGATCTTTGTGTTTTGTTATGGTCTCCAGTGCTTTCTCTTCTAATTTACTGTCTCCAGGTACATGCAGTCCTTGACTTACAACCGATCATTTAGTGACCATTCGAAGTTACAATGGCACTGAAAAAAGTGATTTATGATCATTTTTCACATTTATGACCATTGTAGCATCCCTGAGGTCACATGATCCAAATTCAGACACTTGGCAACTGATTTATATTTATGATGGTTGCATTGTCTCCAGGATCATGTGATCACTTTTTGCAACTTTCTGACAAGCAAAGCCAATGGGGAAGCCAGATTCACTTAACAACTGTGTCACTAACTTAACAACTGCAGTGATTCATTTAACAACTGGGGCGAGAAAGGTCGTAAAATGGGGTAAATATCACTTAACAACAAGTCAAGGACTACCTGTATTGCCTTACCCATTATCTGGACATTTTTTGTTTTTCTTATTGACAATTGTTAAGTCTGGGATGTTATGTAGTATGTGCTTGTCAGTTTGAATTCTAAAGTCCCAGAGCACTTTACCTTCTTCATTTTATGGTCCCATCAGTTCTTCTTTGTAGGCAAATGAGATTTCTAGCAAATCTTCTAATGCACAATTCTTGATACTTTTTTGTTGTTTGTACGCAATCTGTGCAATCTTCTTGTAGCAGCTACCCAGGTGGTCCATTGTTTCTTCAGCTTGTTTGCAGAGATGGCATCTGCTGTTTGTTGCTGTCTTCTCAATTCTGGCTTTGTGTGCATTTGTTCTTAAAGCTTCTTCTTGTGCAGGCAGAATTTGCCTCTCTGTCTCTTTCTTAATTTTCCTGCTCATAGCCATTGCAAGATCTTCTCATCGGCCTCCCTGAATTTTCTTAATGTACTGCCCATGTAGTACTTTGCCTTGCCATGTGTCTTTTCTAGTCTCCATTAGGTCTTCATTGTAGGCCAGTATGTTCTCTCTAGAATTCAGTATTATTATGATTCATTGCAAAGTTAGCCAGATTTTTAGATTGGATTTGGCATTTTTATATACCTATTGAGTCCTTTCCAAGAACCTAGGATAGGCAGATGTTGTTGATTAATGGTGTAAAGGCATTTGTTATTTTAAAAAAAACAAATTAAACATTGAATGGTAGCCATTTCAAAAGTTCCAGATATTTTGGAATGGCTATGATATTTTCCCAGCACTCAGACTACAATATGCTCTTTTTGGTATTCTGATTTTCATTTTCCAGTGCTAATGTGAGAATATGCCTTACTTTCTGTCTAGCATAAAGGCATTATATATTTATTGACTGATTTGATATGTTTGGTTGTCCATCTCAACAATTGACCAACTAATTGACAATTAACTATCTTCTTTGGGTTTTTTGTACAGGGAAGAGAGCATGTCCAGGAGAAGCATTGGCTGATATGGAACTCTTCCTGTACTTTACCTTTCTGCTTCAGCATTTCACTTTTGAATTGACAATAGACCCTGAAGAGGTAGACTTAGAAACTGTGTATTTGGGCTGTAGGGAAAAAGGAAAGTATCGCTACTTACGGGCTATCAAACGTAAAATTTAAATTAGTAGCAGAAATAAATGAATGTTCCAACTTTCTCCTACTCACACCTACATTTCTAATGCTAAATGTAAGTTTCTAAAAGTATCAGAAAGTTTTGAATTAAGTGCCAGGAGGAGTTAAATAAGGAAAACTTCCTATCCGAAGATGTTCTTAATTAGGAAAATCCCCATCACATTAAAAGAGGAATTTGATGATTGACTAGAAGGAACAGGAGAACTAGAGATTATAATTATCAAAGAAGATATCCACTAATTCAGAATGGAACAATATTATTTGCTTGTGGGAGAATTCAAGGATATCTGGGGGCAATGCACTCAGAAATTATAAAATTGGAATTCAAAATAAATTATGGAAAAGGGACAACTTTTAGTAAATGAAACAGATTGTGGTTAATTTGCATGTAGATGGACCATATATTTTCAAATGTCAAGTTACAAGACCTCTCTCCAAGATGGTTGCTGAACAGTAGAAATTTATTTTTATTTTTTATTTTTTTGCTGCCAAAGATGGAGTGTTGCTCCCTGGATTTGAATGGGAACACTTAGGAATAGCAATAGCACTTAGACTTATATAAAGCTTTACGGTGCTTTACAACCCTGTCTAAACAGTTTATAGAGTCAGCATATTGCCCTCAATCACCTTGATCCTCATTTTACTGACCTCAGAAGGATGGAAGGCTGAGTCAACCTTGAGCCGATGATAACCAAACTGCTGGAAGCCAGCAGAATTAGCCTACAATACTGCATTCTAATCAGGGCACCACCATGGCCCAATGACCCAAGATGACTTTTAGATAGCTGAGGACCCACCTGGAAATAGGAATCTTGAACTCAAATGTTTACTATATTATCATCATTATACCTCCACTTTTAGTTAACTATAGTTATTTAAACATCCTTCATCCTTAACTATGCCAAAGAATTAAGCCATAACAAAAGCCGAAAATTCAATTACTTGTTTGTAAAATCCTCTATTAACATCAAATCCTCATATCCTATTTTAGCTGAACATCCATAATATTTAATACCAGAAACTCCATCTTCTCACTGCTAAGCCCCGCCTTCTTCCAACATTCTGTTTCCTCTTATCTATCATTGCTAAGTTTTACAGAGCAACGGTGTATCAGATTACAGACAAGCAAATGTGTCTA